CGAGGGAGAGACAGAACCTTCCATGATGAGAGAGTCATGGATTGGCTGGCTCCTGCAAGTCCCCCACTAGGGATCGAGCCCACAACCTGGGGCATGTGCCCTTGACTAGAATCGAACCTGGGACCTTTCAGTTCACAGGCCGACACTCTATCAACTGAGTCAAACCAGCTAGTGATTTTAATTCTTTATTCTTCTTTTATCTTCACCCAAATAGTGAGGATATTTTTTCCACTGATTGTTCTTTCTAAAAAGAGAATGGGAGACAGAGAGAGAGAAAGAGAAACATCGATTGGCTGCCTCCCACGTGTGCCTCTACTGTGAGTGGGGATCGGACCTGCAACCCAGGTATCTACCCTTGACTGGGAATTGAACCGTTGCCCTCCAGTGCACAAGGCAGCACTGTCATCAGTGAAGCACAGTGGCTAGGGATATTTATTTATTTATTCATTTATTTATTTATTATTCATTCATTCATTCATTCATTCATTTAAAGATATGTATTTTTATTTCCTAGAGCAGTGGTCCGTAAACTCATTAGTCAGCAGAGCCAATTATCAACAGTACTTCTTCAAAATAGATTCACCAAGGCCGAAAAGCAACTTTTGCGCATGGGCCACAAAGTTTCAATCGCACTATACGTGCCCATCCACTCCTGGTATTGTGGAAGAGCCACTCTCAAGGGGCCAAAGAGCCACATGTGACTTGCAAGCCGCAGTTTGCCAACCACGGTCCTAGAGGAAGAAGAGAGAGAGAGAGAGAAACATCAGTGATGAGAGGGACAGAGTCATTGATCAGCTGCCTCCTGCACGACCCCCCACTGGTGATTGAACTCGCAACCAGTGTAGTTGTCCTAACAAGGAATCGAATTGTGATCTCCTAGTTCATGAGTCAATGCTCAATCAGTGAGACGTACCAGGCAGCATTTATTTATTGATTGCAGAGACAGAAAGGGAGACAGAGAAAGGAAGAGAGTGAGGCATTGATGTGCTGTTCTACCCATCTATGCATTCATTGGTTGTCCCGTCCATGTGCCCTGATGGGGGATCAAACCCACAACCTTGTGGCATCAGGGCCACACACTCAACAACTGAGCCACCTGGACAGGATTCTGAATTTGTTTGTTAATTTCAGGAGCTCATAGTGGGATCTTGACAAATTTCTCTATGGTGGGTCATGTCATCTCTTAACATCAACATCTCTTATGTGCACTCTGGTTCATAGTGACAGGAGTAATGTCTTAACTTTCATGTCTTTTTTAACTTATTTTAGGCTTGTTTTATGTTTGTTTGCTTTTGCTTTAGTGTAGCTAATGGCTTGCACATTTTTATATCTTTTTTTTTAAATACCTTTTAGGTATTCCTTTCTTTTGTCTTGTCTCTCTTTTATTTATGTTTGTTCTAATATTTATGGTTTCTTTTCCTTTGCAACCTTCGGTTTACTTTCCTGTTGTGTTTTTAGTTTCCTGAGGTGCCATGTTAGGTTCTTTGAGAACTTTTGTGACAATGTAGGCATTTATCTCTATAAACTTACATTTTCTTTTTTAAAATATATTTTACTGATTTTTTACAGAGAGGAAGGGATAGAGAGGGATAGTGAGAAACATCGATGATAGGGAAACATCAATTCAGCTGCCTCCTGCACACTCCCTACTGGGGATGTTCCCGCAACTACGGTACATGTCCTTGATCAGATTTGAACTTGGGACCCTTCGGTCTTCAAGCTAACACTCTATCCCTTGAACCAAACCAGTTAGGGCTACATTTTCTGAATGTTATACATAAGCTTTGGTAGGTTGTCTTGTTATTTACTTTGCCTCAAGATTTTTTGAGATCTCTTTTGTTTTTGGCTACCCTGAAATTCTTATGTCTTTATTATTCCTTTTACATAGTGAGGAAGGGAAATGGGGGGAGAGAGATGAAGGAGAAACATCAATCGGCTGCCATGTGCACAGTTGAAAACAGGGTATGGAACCCACATTCTGATATGTGCCCTAACTGGGAATTGAACCCTCGACCCTTCAGTACACAGGACACTGCTCCAACCGAGTCACACTGGCTAGGGCATTGTGTAGTTTTTCGAAACAAAAATTTCCAGGGTTTTGGAGAACAGGCCACTAGGATCAATGAGAACAAAAGCACAGTGGCTCATAGTGGTATCGCTGACTCTTTATTTTTATTTAAAAAATATTTTTATTGATTTCAGACAGCAAGAAAGAGGGAGAGAGAGATAGAAACATCAGTGATGAGTTACAATTGGCTGCCTCCTACATGCCCCCGAGCTGGGACCGAGCCCGCAACCTGGTCATGTGCCCTTGACCTGAATCGACCTGGGACCCTTCAGTCCGCAAGTGGAGGCTCTATCCACTGAGCGCAACCGGCTAGGGCTGGCCCTCTTTTAAAAAAATATGTTTTTATTAATTTCTTAGAGGAAAGTCGGAGAGAAAGAGAGATAGAGAGAAACATTAATGATGAGAATGTGTCACTGATCAGCTCCCTCCTGCATGCCCCCTACAGGGGACTGAACCCACAAAAAACTGGGCATGTGCCCTTGAGTGGAATGGAACCTTGGACCTTTAAGTCCACAGGCTGACACTCTATCCACTGAGTAAACCAGCTAGGATGGATCCTTCCTTCCTTCCTTCCTTCTTTCCTTCCTTCCTTTATTTCCTTCCTTCCTTCCTTAATTATTTAGTTAATAATTAACCCTTTTTTTTTGACCTTAGGTATCTTCAAATGTGTTTCCTCACCCAGTTTCCTGTCATCCTTTCTATGCAGTTGTCCTTATTTGGTATTCTGTATTACTGTTTGTCTTCATGGTACTCTTATTCCCAATGCCTGTGGGATTTTTTTTCATGGATAGCTGTCTGCTTACTCTGGGATGGGGAAAGACTATCTCTGATTCTGCCGTCTTGCTGATGTCACTCACATAGGTCTTTTGCCTTTGATCTCATTTGTGGTTTGTTCTTCTACGGCAGTGCTGACCATACCTCGTTTTAGGTTTTATTTAGATCTTCATCATTTATCTCATGCTGTGGCTCAACTTGGATTTAAGAAGCAAAATCTTTTGTGCGTCACAGGAGAAAGATGACACCCAGAGGCAGTCTTTTCTTGGTGAAGGACTCTGGGGGCAGTTGTCATGCCTGGGCTCTGTTTCGTTCACAACTAGGAAGCCATTTTGTTGAACAACAAAAATGTTTTCTTACCATTGCCCACTCCTCTCCCAATTGTACTTCTTCTTATTTAATGTTGACACTTTGCCTATGACTCAGTTTTAATAGTGATCATTCTACTTGGACTCCCAGCCCATGGATAACCTTAACCTCTTTCAACTTTGCACTTCTACCTCTATCACACATCTCGGCTTTACTGCACTCCAATGTTGTTGCATGCCTGCAGAACTTTAGAGGGCACCCATATTATATTGACGCTGAACATCCCGTGCTTTACTATGATTGATATTTTATGGGTTTCAGCACATTGAAATTATTTTACACAGACTCATATCACCAGTATGAAAGGTCCTAAAGGAAGCCATTTGTGGAGTAATAACAAGCTGACCCTGCCTCTCTTCTTTTTGTGCCAGCCTATGCTTCTGTCCTCCCTTGGTGAGATTTTCCTCATCCAGTGACCTTTTGGGCCCTGTTATATATAACAGCCATTTCCTGAGAGTCTCGCTTACTTGTCTTGAAAATCATTTTTTTGAATCATGTCCAGTTGTGACATAAACAATTGTGGTGAAGATATTCTGTATTTATCAGGTCAACATGCACTTTACCTACGTTTCTTTTCTTCAGGTTGCTGCTGTGGAGCAGAGAATGTGGAGGAAACGACTGAACAGAAGGTTTCTGTAAGATTGTCACAGGCAAGGAATCCCAAGTTAGCCTTGTCTTCCCAGAAGAGTCACCCCTGTGAGAGTTGTGGGCTAGTCTT